CAACATTCTTTCCTTTTAAACTTTCAAATTCTCTCCTACTACACTTTCCCTTCATTCTCAGTAATCTCTGGCCCATCAGCCCCTCCCTAGTCTAACAGTCTGGTAATATTTTTGTTTCCCTTTCCCCCTACCCAATCTAAATACCATGGGCCACAGTGGGCCATTTCATTCTCATCCACTCTCTCCTCTTCACAGATGCCTAACCTCTCCTTTAATACTGAAGCTAATTATGATACATACACTGAAATTCTATCCACCCTTCCTGTCAAATCTCTGCATCTTTAACCTCCATTTATTCATTGCCTCCATCATTCATTGGCACCTTTGATGACTGTTATCACTTTAACCCTTTTATCTGAAGCTTTTGTTATCATCTCACCTTTTGTCTTTTGGGACCTTCCTCCCTCAAGCACCCTCTCTTAAGGCCTAATTTCAGTATCTCCTGTTCTAAAGGCACCTTTGCCCTCTGGTGTCTCCCTTCCTCCACCCCATCAAGTGAAAGAGTTCCTGCCAGATCATTCTTGAATAATGTCAACTCCCTTCTCCCTTGTTAAAAACCTTTCATTCTTTTCTTTACCTAGTCAATTACCAGGGGCTAAATTCCTTAGCCTGGAATTCAAACTCACACTCACAAACCCACAGTCTTGTCATTGTCACAACCTCCCCTCCAGTCAAATGTTCCACTTTTACTCTTTGGTTTCCTTATATACCCATCAAACGAAGTTCATTTTATCTCAACCTTTTTCCCTTCCCCTGTACACTGATGTATAGTGCTCCCTCCACTCTGGAATGCTGATTCTCAGAATCACAAGACATATGAATCCTACACTCTTTTAAGAATGGTTCAGATTCTACCTTCTCTAGGAAGCCTTCCTTCATTCCCCCTGCTGGAAGAAGTACTTTCTTCTCTGAACTTTTGATCCACTTGATTTTCTTATGGGACTTGCTGGCTTTTATTTTATAATGTAGTTATCTATGTACGTTTGGTGTTTACTGGTCTGAAAGCCCTTTGAGAAAATGTTGGCTTTTATTTTATAATGTAGTTATCTATGTACGTTTGGTGTTTACTGGTCTGAAAGCCCTTTGAGAAAATGTTTTGTATATCTTTATAAATCCCAAAATATTTAACAGTATTTTACAAATGCTGAATTTTTAAAATCAAAAGATCACTTGTGAAAAGGCAATTTAAAGAATATTGATAAAATTTCTCTATTAATAAAAGTATTAATAAAGCACTGTATTCTGCAATTATAATCCAGTTCATGTTATACAAGGTTACACATATTATTGCTCCATGAATTAAAGCTGGAAATTATTTTTCTCTTATCCTACCCCTTTTAGTCATTAGCTGTCAATTTCCACATAATTCTTAAGATTTTAAGATATTTTTCCAGCTTTCAAGTTTTAAAATTGTTTTCCTTTCTTTGTTATGTAAGGGTTTGGACATAATTTATAATATAACTGGTCAGGAAATACAAGGTAAATATAAACTTTTGTTGATACTATTAAAAAAGAGACAACAGAGCAAAATGGAGTCATCTGTGCTAACCCCAAGTCACCAAACTGAGGTTTAATACCTAATTAATTATAATTTCAACCTCTCAGGAGTGTCATCTGAAAGCAGTCAATTTAGAATTGCCTGGTCAGCACTAGTGATGTAATCTTCTTGATAGTCCCTGTGGTCCCCTAAAGGAAGGTGACCTAGCCATGAATAATCCACTCTTTGCTGGTAACTTGTCCCACCCACTTCTGCCTATAAAAGTCCTTAATTTTTGTACAGCTCTTGGAGCTCTTTTCTATTTGCAAGTGGTGATGCTGACCAATTCATGAATCACAGGCAAAGCCAATAAGACATTTAAATTTACACAGTAATATGTTTGCTACTTTTTAGTATGTGCCAAATTTTTATTTCATCATTTGTAGAAAACTGTACTAATTAAGACATACCAGAGTATAAAATGTCTTTATACTTTCTAAGAAAATGCTCTTCAAAACAAGTGAATAATTCTATCAACAAGGGACCTGTTTAATTTCTCTAGGATCGAGGGCAGTTTTAAAGCTTCATTTCAACATGTTTTCAATATTGAATGTGTTACTCATAAGCACTTCTTAAAGATGGTATAAAAATAGCACTCTTCTAAGATCTGTAATTGGATTCCTAAAGTTGCCCCTGCCACTTAATTTTTCATTCTCAAACTTTCCTTCCAGATATTTGAAATACCATGAATTACACTGAAATTGCTACTGTCAAGAAACTTATTTTTCTAAATTTTAAGATAATACACAGTAAGGAGTATGAGAAAATTTCATACATAAAGATATATTCATGTAAGACTGGATTTTCTGTTGCTTGAAAGCTGAAGTATCCCATTTTCGAAAGAAGAACAAATGTGTGTTCTTCTCTTTGATATTCATGAAGAAACAATGATGCTACTCTGAAATCATTACCCCAGTCTTCACCCTTTTACCCCACCACAGAGTCCATATAAACTAAAGTGTCTACAAATGGGTTGGGGGTGAGGAGTAATGGGAGAGAATGAATTGTCCAAATTATGTAAGAGGATGCGTTTGTCAAAGTTTCAAGGAGTTCTATCACCTAAATCACTCCCAAGGCATGTAAACGAATTTTAAAGTGAATCACCTGCAAATACTGAAGGCATTTGCCATGGAAAATAGCTATTAAGCAGGGTGAGTCAGAAAAAGGTATCATGGAAGAGAGGAGGGGATATGGTGAAGCACCTCCTTTTCCATGATTTTTTAGAGCAAGGATGTGTTCCTGTGGCTAGTAGGCATCGCTGACGGGAGCTGGTCATGAGTCATCTTGCCAAGATCTCACTAGGAACAAGCAACTGAAACAAGCCCTCAGACTATCCCATTGGGGAGGGAGTTAAAGAGGTTTTTAAAAGATGAAGTTGGAGTGAACCTCCCACTTCAGGTAATCTGTGAAATGGGGAGACCTCCAAGGCCACAAAAACCCATAAAATTCATACACGCAGCACCTAACCAGAGAGAACCACATTTATAGGCCTGCTATACATAAGGCAGCAACAATCAGAGAATGAGTAATAACCAAAAACAAACAACAAACCCTACACTAATTGGATTTAAGTAGATTGCCTAGAACAGAAGCCCTCTTTGGTTATTATAGGTAGCACAAGATAAATAACAGACACATGTCCCTTACTAGTTCTCTGTACCTTTCCTTAACTAAAATTTCCTCTTCTTATAAAGACAAGTCAGATTGGATTTGGGCCCACCCTAATGGCCTCACTTAAACTTAATCCCCTTTAAAGGTCCTATCTCCAAATACAATTATATTGTGAAGATCTAGGGGTTAGGTCTTGAACATACAAATTTTAGGGGAACACAATTCAGCACATAATACCAGACATGGAAGAAAAAAGCTATTTCAAATAGCTAAAAGCCTATGATGTTGAGGTCATTTGTAATAAACATGTAAGGTGGTCCCAAATGGTAAGCGCAGGGTGAGGAGTATAATAATAGGCTGAAGTGAAAGTTAAAGGCTGGAGTTTGTAGCTCACCAGAAAGTGGAAGGAGCTCTGAAGATGAGGCCGTGGTTGACATCCATGACCCAGTCCCACTAGAGCATTCAGCTAGAAAAAAAGAAAGCGTTTTCCTGGCCAGAACTTAGCAATAAATGCATAGCCCTGTGATGTAGGGCATGGGAGGAGGGTACTTCAAGCAGTAAACTTCAGTCACAAACAGAATCCTTATGATCAAGCAAATTCCAAACACTTGGAAGACATAAAAAAAAATGTGTGAGAGAAAATAAAAGGTAAAATTCAACTCAACTCTTGAGTTGGGGGAGAGAGGAAAAAAGGGCGATGAAGCACGTACTGGCGTGCTGGCCCTACATACTCTGGCAGCTGGCCTGCTGCAGGAAGGTGAACTAGGGCCATTTTAGGGAGGCTAGAGAAAGGATCTGAGCAATTAGACTTCCTATATCACCTTTAAATAGTACCATAATTAAACACTGAATTGTTTCAATGTCTATGAATATTTAAATAAAAGTAATTCAGCTGAATTGTCACTCCTTAGCTTTGTTCGAAGAAAACTGGACTGCTTCATCCTACTACTTATACTCTCCCCAATTCCATCTCTAAACATATTACTAGTTTAATCACACTTACATCATGTATTTGTGGATCTTCTGAAAAAGGTATTCCACAGGTTTGACTTAAACTAGCAGTGTGCCACAGTAAAAATCTATCCCTCTTTTGAAGTGAGCTAAATTCAGTTTTTTACTTCATGTTCTTAAAATCTTTAAAGGTTTATTAAGATCCTTATTAACTGACTTAAGTCAGAGAGACTGTCAGACATACAAGGCACATGGTTTCCTTAAAAAAATAAAATTCCCGAGAACCATATAGTTACTGAAATTTTGATGTACCTGCCATGCCACTTATCTGGTACCTATCTATTGGATCTTTCATCACTGGGGCAAAATGCCATACAACTTAATTAAGTTCCTTTGTAGAACCCTCTTCTTCCCTGGCCCCTAGCTTTCCCTGGACAGTACTGTAATAGACTGTGATCATAAACTGCAAGGGAAGAGGTGGGACTTGGGTTACTGCGATAAAAGCATCTAAAATTTGAGGAGAGATGGAAGTTAAAACACAATGGATGTTCTGTACATATTCAAAATACTTGAGTTTCCTGAAAAAGCTATGAAAAGGGATTTGTAAACTATTTCTTAATATCCTGGGAGCAGGTATAACATCCCTCCACAGCAAACATTCCTTAGGTCAGGGTGGCTCCCCACAGGCAGTAAGTCTCCACTACTAAAAGGAAAGCCTGGACACTGAGAATCTGGCAGGTTATGGGAAAGTTGTCCCCAACTTATCCAAGGTCTCCATCTGCTTTGTCATAACCAAATGGGAGGATTTAAAAACAACACTGAAACACAGATTCAATACAATCAAGTATACAATCAACATCACCAAATAATTTATTTGGAATCAAAACTAAAAAGACATTTGGCAGCTGTGAAATGTTGTTTATTGATACCTTCTGATCAATTGTACAACTAATCTAGAACAAATTAGCAGGTAGATTTTATGTATTTCTTCAGGACTGGGGTTTTTCGATGACTTCAAATTTCGGATCTAAGAAGAGGAAAAAAGTTGAAGCTTAGAAGCCTTCAATATTTAATTCATCTATCTTCTAGTTTTATTTTTTAGTGAATATGTACTGTTTTAAAACACCTACATGGAAATATAATTGCTAAAGATTTATTCCGCACTTGCTATGAGCCAGTCTATTAACTATGTATTTCATATCATTTAACTACAACAACCATATGAGGTTTTAAAATTTTCCCTAGTGTCAGATGAGAAATAGGCACCAGGTTAACTATTCAAGATCACACAGCTCCTAAGTGATATTGTCAGAATTCCAGATCAGGGAGTTTGATTTCAGATTCCCACCACGTAATCGCGATGCTTTCTGAACTATAAAATTGCAGACACTTATCTCAGAGCTCCCCATGCACATGTCACTATCCGAGTGAAGTCACATGTAATTGTAATTTAATCTTCCAAACAATTCAAGTAAGTATAAATATTCTCCACTAAAAATAATTTCCCATAAGAATGAATCTGTCTTTAAGGACGCTTACCTTCAAATTTGAAGTTAGGGAATGTAGTCATGTCTCCTTTACCATACATTTGTTTAAGCTTAAAAAGCTCCCTCTCCAGATCTTGTTGATACTCTGGGCCAGTATCAACAGGTCCTGCAGATGACCTGTTGTGTAAATGAGTAAGTCAAATCTCATTTTACGAACTACTTTACAAAAACAAAATTACTTTTCACCATCAAGCTTCAATAGATCTCTATCAAGTATTCATGTAAAGCTTTTCTGAAAGAAAACAAGTACTTCCACTTGAATTTCAAACTATTTCAATATTTTAAAAGAAAATCTTCAAAGGTTTATTAAGACCTGTATTTATTGACTTAAGTCAGATTGTTAGACAGAAAAGGCACAGCTTATTTCCTTTCCTTGAGTGCCATCTACAGTTACTGAAATTTTGATGTGCCTGCCATGCCATTTATCTGGTGCCTACCTGCTGGACCTTCTATAACTGGGGCAAAACACCATATAACTTAAGTTGTATGTAATGAGGCAACTTCACATAAATGAGGTAACTTCAAACAAATCTCTAACACTAAAAGTTTGTTAGTATCAAGGATACTTATTAAGTCAGAATCTCTAAGGGTCCAAGTTGCAATATGGTGTAATGGCTAAGTCTGTGGGCTCTGGAGTCAATGACTGCTTCCATTAGAATGTCAGCTCTACAATTTAGTTAACACAGTAAATTAGAGCAAGGAATGAAGCACTTTAAACTTTAGTTCCCACATCTAAAAGTGAAGGTCTTATCTAATGGTGGTGTTAAGAGAATTATAGAGATAACACACAGGTACCATTTAGCAGTGTCTGGCACAGAGTGAGCACTTGGTGTTACCTATTAAAATGATCTGATTTAAATAAGCCATGACTAAATGGCTTTTAAAAGATTTTAGTAACTTTAAGTCTCTAGAATAAGGGCTTAACAAAGAAGCAAATTAAATCTTCTACTTCAGAGGTTTTGCCCCTTAGAAGAAAAAACAGCATGCTTATAAACATGTATGCTGTAAAGGAGTTACGTGGTGAGCTTCAAAACATGGTTTAACAAAAAGCTACTCAAGCAGAGGAGAGAGCACTTTCACTGAGGTAATCAAGAAAAATTTTATTTTAAAAAGGGGTACTTATGACACATGATGCATTTGAGTCATAATTTGAAACATTGTAAGACTGAAAAAGCAAAAATACAAAGATGGTAAAGCATTGGCTGTATGTCTATGTGGAAAAGCCAGCAGGACCACAGGTCATGGGAGGCTGGAATGTTAAGCCTGGGAATTTGTATTTTATTTGCTAAGCAATAAAATGACAATTAGAGTTGTGCTTTGGGAAGATAAATATAGCATCATGGACCAGCAGCAGAGCCAATTAGAGTTAATTAAATCTTTGCACAAATTCCTCCATATATGGCATAACATTACTGCCCACCTATCAATGAACAGTATAATAGACACAAAAATTTACAAGTGCAAATTCTATTAAGGGTAGTAATACTTTCACACGTCTCTGATAAAAGCATAGGGCCTTACATATGTTAGAGAATTTCCAAAAAAAAAAAAAATACGCCTCTAAATTATGAACTTGTTAATGATGTTTCCTGTCATGGACCCAATTTTCTCCTAGATCAGCATGTGCAGTAGAACTTGCTGTGATGATAAAAAAAATGGTCTACACCTGTGCTGTCTCATGTGGTAGCCACTAACCAGATCTGGCTATTGAGAAATAAAAATGTGTTTAAGGCGACTAAGGAATTCAATTTTTATTTATACTTAACTGTAACTAGAATTTGAATAGTCACGTGTGGATAATGGTTACTGAAATATATAGTGCAGTTCCACAAAGAACCTTCAACCAGATACTAATTAATGATTGTCTTCCAGCTCTGGGATTCACAAGCTTTAGAAACTATTCTGAAAAGATCCAACCAGCTTAGTAACACACTGGTTACTGATACATTACAGCTGTTACAACTTTACTATGTATTCTTATGATTAAAAGGGGCTAGAATTATCTACCTCCTCAACTGAATGTAAGTCTCCCAGCCCATCTTGTTTATTATTACATCTCTAGGCACTAGCATGGTGACAGGGCCAAAGTAGATAGATACTCAAGGGATACTTGGTTTTTTAACTTAAAAAATAGCAGGCATGCTAATTTATTAAATCATTTAATTTTTATACCATCCAATGAAATAGGTATTGATATTATCATCCCCATTTTACATACAAGTAAACCTAGGTACAGAAGTTAAATAACTTGCCCAAGGTCATAAAACTAGTTAAGTGGCAGAGTCCATGCTCAGAATACTTCTCCACCCTGTTTGCACAAATGAATGAGCCACAGACTCCTTAGATTCAGGGTAAACCTAAGGACTGACTTCTTATTGGGCAAGCTTTTAAAGACAACAGAATCAATACAAAGATGCCACAACACCTCAGAACAGAAGACTCTCAAATTCCCCAACCAGCCCTGGACACCTGCTTACTAAATAGTGTAAGTTTGGGCAAATTCTAACCTTTCAGCCTTGGTTTTATCATAATAAAATAGGGCCAACATCTAGAGACTGTTGCAAGCATTCCTAGAAAAATATCTTTATTTTAATCCTTGCAGTTTCCACCCTTAGTTTTGGTAATGACAAAATCTTTTTATTGACTAGTTTCAAAGGTTTCAGTGTTCTTTAACTCTTCTCTTACTTCTACCTCTCCACGAGGTAACTAAAACCAGTTCTCAGTCTATCTGTGACATTCTGTCACTTTTTTCCCTAAAATTTTTATACTGTTTCGAGAAACATCTTAGGAGGTGCAACAATTTTTCAAAGGCAGGTAATAACATTCAGCTTATCAATGTTAACTGGATTTAGCCCAAAGTGAAGTAAGAGTGAAATAATGCAATTTTATATATTGTCAAATGACCCCTCTGTCTCTGAAAGGCTGTTCTCCACCATGCCCCATGCCTGTGCGGCCCTAGGGACAGAAACCCTTTGCCGCACTTCAGAATCCACTATTACAATAATTTCAAAATGGTCATTCAGATTATACTCAATAGCCCTGAGAACTGGAGGGCCCTGAAGGCCAGCCAGTACCAACTGATCTTACCAGGAACAAAGACCCTTCTGCAGCAAACTAAATTACTTTCCAAGACCCCCTTGACCTATGACCCAAACTAAGTGAAGTCTTTTTTTTCCCACTGTATTTTTTTTGTTTGGTGGTGGGTGATCCTACTTTTTTAAAGTATCATTGATATACAATCTTAAGAAGGTTTCACATGAACAATATTGTAGTTTCAACATTCACCCATATTATCAAGTCCTCATGCCTCCCACTGCAGTAACTGCCTCTCAGCACAGTAAGATGCTACAGAGTCGTTACTTGTCTTCTCCATGCTATACCACCTTCCCTGTCACAGACCTATATTGTGATTGCTAATTATAGTGCCCCTTCATCCCCTTCTTCCTCCCTCCCCACCCATGCTCCCCAACCCCTTCCCTTCTGTAACCACTAGTCCTTTCTTTAAGTATGTGAGTCTGGTGCTATTTTGTTCCTTCAGTTTTGCTTTGTTGTTATACTCTACAAATGAGTGAAAATATTTGGTACTTCTCTTTCTTTGCCTGACTTATTTCACTGGGCATAATACCCTCTAGCTCCATCCACGTTGTTGCAAATGGTAGGATTATTTTTCTTATCATGGCTGAATAATATTTCAGTGTGTATATGTGCCACCTCTTCTTTATCCATTCATCTACTGATGGACACTTAGGTTGCTTCCACATCCTGGCTACTGTAAATAGTGCTGTGATAAACATAGGGGTACATATCTTTTTGAACCAGGGATCCTATTTTCTTTGGGTAAATCTCTAGGTCAAATGGTATTTCTATTTTCAGTTTGTTGAGGAACTCCATATTGCTTTCCACATGGTTGACTAGTTTACATTCCCCCCAACAGTGTAGGAGGGTTCCCCTTTCTCTGCATCCAAGCCAGCATTTGTTGTTTCTTGTCTGTTGGATGTTGTCCATCCCAACTGGTATGAGGTAGTATCTCACTGTGATTTTAATTTTAATTTCCCTGATGATTAGTGAGAAGGAGCATCTTTTCATTTGCCTATTGGCCATCTGAATTTCTTCTCTGGAGAAGTGTCTGTTCTGATCCTTTGCTCAATTTTTAACTGGGTTGTTTTTTGGGCATTGAGATGTGGGAGTTCTTTATATATTGGACGTTGACCCCTAACTGAATATATCATTTCCGAATATATTCTCCCATACTGCAGAATGCCTTTTTGTTCTGATGATGTCCTTTGCTGTACTGAAGCTTTTTAGTTTGATGTAGTCCCATTTGTTCATTTTTTATTGTTTCCCTTGCCTGAAGAGATGTGTTCAGGAACAAGTTGCTCATGTTTATATTCAAAAGATTTTTACCTATGTTTTCTTCTGTTTTATGGTATCATAATGTACATTCAGGACTTTGATACACTTCGAGTTTACTTTTGTGGATGGAGTTAGAAAATAATCCAGTTTCATTCTCTTAAATGCAGCTACCCAGTTTTGCCAGCAACAGTTGTTGAAGAGGCTGTCATTTCTCCTTTATCATGTATTAATTGGCCATATATGTGTGGGTTTATATCTGGGCTCTCTATTCTGTTCCATTGATCTAGGGTCTGTTCTTGTGACAGAACCAAATTGTTTCAATTACTGTGGTTTTGTAGTAGAGCTTGCAGTTAGGGAACGTAATCCCCCTGACTTTATTCTTCCTTCTCAGGATTGCCTTGGCTATTTAGTCTTTTTTGGTTCATTATGGATTTTAGAACAATTTCTTCTAGTTTGTTGAAGAATGCTCTTGGTATTTCAATAGGGATTGCATTGAATCTGTATGTTACTTTAGGCAGGATGGCCATTTTGACAATATTAATTCTTCTTATCCATGAACTTGGAATAGATTTCCATTTATTGGTGGCTTCTTTAATTTCTCTAGAGTATCTTGTAGTTTTCAGGGTATAGGTTTTTCTGCTCCTTGGTTAGGTTTATTCCGAGGTATTTTATTCTTTTTCATGCAATTGTAAATGGAATACTTTCGTGAGTTTTCTCTCTCTGCTAGTTCATTATTAGTACATAGGAACGCAACAGATTTCTGT